TTTTTAAACACATATATACGATTTCTCGCGAACAAAGATACAGAAAATATAAATTTTTCCTGAATACATTTTTCTAAAAAGAAATTTTTTCATATGTTTGATAGGGCAGTTATTTATTTCTTAAGTAAGCAGTCATCCAATCTATGTACAGGGTAGAATCTTCGACTAATACAGCCGCAGCCATGTATTATTGGCAGGAGTCAAATTGGATTTCACTCTAATCGTAAAAGCACTACTCAAACATTATATAACTCCAATGCCCATTACCTAATGAAAAGCCAAGCTAAAATTTCCAGTCAAATTTCTTTTCATGGTTTTGAAACCATGGTAGTTGTAAATGGTTAAAAAACCGTATAGTATTATTTTAAAGTTTTTTTTAAATTATACTAGTAGTAAACGTTCTCAAAACCATAAATGTAAAATATGTTCTTTTCCGTGAACTTTGCAGTTAATGTGATAGACAGACTGCTTCCGATTATTTTACTGTAATTTTAGACTGAAAACTCTAACGGTGTGCCTTCAACAGAGCGAAAACAAAAGGTCTAATGAAGGGGAGCCAGGAAGTAATTCACAGAACTCTACTAACTTTATTTCTGATGAGTCTGTTGGGAATATATTCCAACATTTTTGCTGAAATTTTCTATTTTTTAGTTCTCCAAAATTTTGCGTGATACTGGTGACGATCAATTTTGATTCGCGTGAATTTTTATTAATTTTTTTTTTACATTGCACTGCTACACCACGTCTCTCATCATTTCCAATTTTTAGTTATTGCATTGCGATTTGAGACTAAAAATAATTTTATAACAAACATTTTGAAAGCATCGAATAATATTTCATAGAACAATATTCATCGAAATTATATTGACCAACCGCATTACTTTCGAAGTCGAAATAATTATCAAATGTATTGGCGAATTTAAAAAATTTATGAAAATTGATAAAATAAAATTGAAATTTAGAGGTAACGAAAGGTATAATGTCGCCTTTCATAGAATAATATTCTTACATTATTGACATATTACAACCTCTTACAAGTCGCTATGGAGAAAAAGCAATTGCTTCGACAATTTAAATATCTATGTTGTATTCAGTTATAATACATGTGAAAATCCCATTATAAAAATTACCCCGAATTAATTTTTTTCTGTGTTACCTTACAATACACTAAAATACTTAATTTATAAGTGATTATTTACGGAGAAATTTGAGTTCATTTAGAGTGATACTCGGCAATCATTAAACTCGGCAATCTTATCATTAAAATGTGTACTACGCAAAATATTTCATCGTTAAAATGGGTCCTTCAACAGAGTATTTTATTGTAGAAATGAACCCTTTGCAAATTACTAACTGACTCATCTCAATATTTTCCATTTTAAAAATTATAATGGTCTTCCCAACTATACAGACGGTAGAATACTTAAATAAAGAATTTTGTGCAGGGTCATTCCTCATGAAATGAAGTCTCAAAGCTTACGCCAATTTTAAAATAGCATCTATAAAAGGATATGATCTTTGCGTTTCTTTTTCCTTACAAAAAGGAGTTCAGTTTGGCCCTTTAGAAGAATCTGAATTAATTAATGACTTTGATTAGACCCTGATTAAGACCCTTCCCAAAAAAAGACATTGATAGTAAGGACTTCATTCTGTTTTTTTTTTGTTGATTTAAGATATTTTGGAAACATTTTTCACAGATTTACAAAAAAGAGGACTTTAAGGAAATTGGATCTTTTACCATTGGATTCTGATTTTTCCATAAAAATATAAAAGCAGGATCCTATTTACTGAAATTAAAAAAAAAACTTAGTAGATTTCTCTCAATTTTGCAATAACAGGCGTTTTAAAATAAATCCTTTTACAATAAAATATTAATAACCAGTTTATATTGTTTATAGCAACAATTTTGCAATAACAGGCGTTTTAAAATAAATCCTTTTACAATAAAATATTAATAACCAGTTTATATTGTTTATAGCAAAATATTGTATGTGGATCAAGATTTTACAAATATGTGTTAATTTGGTCTAGGTGATTAATAACATTAAAAAATTTGTTAGCTCGAGCAAAAAAAAATCATCATTTTTGAACTTCAAAAGATTTGGTTTCTATGGGAAAAAGATACAAAATAATACACAATTTGTTTTTCCATACCAACTCTATAAAATAAAAACTAAGTTGTTGCTAATGGTAACAAATAACAGTATTTTATCCAGTAAAAAACACAGCTCTATAAAAATATTATTTTAAATCTTCAGGGTACTGAACAATCGTTATTTCGTTCCTGATCAGCCTAAAAAAAATTTATATATAACACGTTCTTGACAGGGGTTAATAACACAATTAAAATCTTCCAAGAATGATTATGTATAAAATGAATAGATACCTAATTTCATACTTTGAAACTAAAATCAATTCAAAAAAATCAAGATACAATGCATTTGACTTCATTAAATTAAAATTTAAAAATATAATTCTTTAAAAGAAATTGGGTTTTGTTTAAATAGGACCTAATTTTAAATTTATATTTTCGATTTAGTTTCATTTATTTATCTCGTTTATTAAAATATATCTATTATTCAACATATATTAAAAAGTAAAATTGCAAGATAAAATATAAGATTAACTAATAGTTTAAAATTTACGTACCTTTTCTTTTCCCTGAAAATCTTAATCGCAAAATTTACAAGGAAACAAGATTTTAATATTATTAAGTTTAACTAATCACATTAAACTTGAATTTAAATCCAAGCCATCTTTTCCATTTTTATAATTTTTTTAAATGAAACTAATTGCTAACTTATCATTTCTATATTATAAATAAATAATCGCGTGAAGTTTTAAGTATTTTAATATTTATCAAGCATCAGATATAATGATACTTTAATTACTTATGAAAATATTTTTTCGCTATTGATTGATAATTACATGCAAAAATATCTTCTCTTTGTAATATATTACCATTTTAATTCAATTTTTAGAATCCAGATAGAACCATTAACCGTGAGGAAATTTAATTTTATTTGCATAGCTGAAAACATAATGATTTTTTTAATGTAGTGAATTGAAAAAAGGAAACGATGAAAAGAATGACGACAAAATGTTTAAAGTAAACTTTAAATTCCTGCCTGATTAATTTCAATATCATTATCTTGAGCGTATGCTTCCTCCATTTTCTTTTAAAAAAATATCTTTTTTTTTTCTAAAGTAAATTTTACAGCCGGATGTTCTAATGACTTTACAGCAGCGGGTTGTTTTCGGAAGAATAATGATGTTCCAAGTTCCGATTTAAAGTTTTGATTGTCTAAGAACGTTCATTAGAAACCTTTAATTTAATGATTGCTTCAAACGTAACTAAAATTAGACCGTCTTTTCAGGTTGCTCAGATGTTTGTGATAGTATTTAAATGTGAGAACGCAAACAGTTCCTCCAATTATCATTACTTTGAATCAATTCGAAAAAATTAGTTTAGGCTTTTGATCTTAATCAAATTTGAGATGCCCCTAAAGTGTTTATGAAATTAAATATCTGAAACTTATCGCATAGTTCATAATTTAAAGTAGATTTTTATGATTACAATTTTGTTACATATTTCTTTTTTCAGAAAAATAGACATATTATTAGCAATAATTTGATCAGTGATTTCTTCAAAAACAGATAGCGGTGGTTCACCACATGCTGAGAGTTTAGTTTAAGTTGGATATTACTAAGCTGTTATTGAAATTTTATTTTGAGTGGGATAATACTCAGCTGTTACTGAAAGCTAACTCTGAGTAAACTTCAAAATTCATGTTGGTTGCATTTCAATTTCATTATCATAAACGCATGCCTCCTTAGTTTGAAGTTTTCTTTTTAAAGGAAGAAAAAAATGAAGTAAGTTTTACAACCGGATATTCTAAAGACTATACAGCAGTGGTTGCTTTTGGGGAAATTAATGTTCCAAGTACCGACAGTCTTTTCAGGTTGTTCAGTTGTTTGTGATGGTATTTAAATGTGATAATGCAGACAGTTCTACCAATTATCATTCCTTTGAATCTCAATTTGATAAAATTAGTTTAGACTTTTAATCTAAAACCTATAGTATAGTTGATAATCTGTAGTAAGTGGATTTTTGTTATAATCATTGATTACATTGTTTTGCTAAATATTTTTTTACATATCTTGTTTTATAATAATGGACATTTTATAAGCAATAATTTATTCAATGTATTCCTTACAAACAAATAGTTGTGATTAATAAACTTATAAAATTGTGAAAGTTTGATTTGATTAAGATGTAACTGAGTTGTTTTTGAAAGTTTATTTTGAGTGGAATGATAATGAGCTGTGGTTGAGTGATAATGAGTTGTGTGTTTGTTGCATGGTTATAATTATATTTTATGGTTAGCATTTTATAATTGGAAGAGCTCTTGCTATTTTAAACCATTTATTTCTTATCTTTACTGCTTTTTTTGCCAATAACTATACAAAAAATTTATATATTTCATGCGAGGAAATTACCTGCTTTTTACATAGCAATGAACAGTTAATTTAGAGAGCTTTCAATTTCGCTTTTTATTCATTTGAATTTCTGCGACATTGCTTAATATAGCTTGCATGATTAAAAAAATTACTATGAAGTTAGATTGAAATAAAAAGTACATTCCAACAGGTCACACGCTCTCTCAGAAAAAGAATGATCTCTCCCTATGGAAAAATGTTTGCAAGTGCAGAAAATAGTAAATGCTTATTTTTGTTCTCAAGAGAATTTCTGTGAAAAATAATTTGTTCCAAGCAAAATTTTACCTCAGAATATTTTGCACTTGTGATTTTTTTGACATGGCATTTTACTTCCTGAATTATACAACTTCCTGCTTTATACTATTACGTTTTAATAAAAAATAAATACTGATCTACTATTTTAACATCGCATGGCGTAGTTTATTGTATTATATTCATGAGAATGCTTCTTTACGTATGGTTTTTGCCTTAAATTGATTATTTTGAAAATTTATTTTCAGTACCTCCTAAGAACCTTACAATTAGAGACAACAAAAACAACACATTATCTGGAGTTATGGGTCCCTATGAAGAAGGAGCTACTGTTAGTTTCATTTGTGAAGCATTTGGAGGTATAAAAATATTGTAACTATTCACTTACATTTTTGTAGAGATTTCAAATAGAAATTATAATAAAGCATTACTTTTTTGTTGATTTGATCTATTTTATTAATGATAAAAATAATAATATTTAACGTTTTTGTTTTATTATATAGTTTCATAATGGTAAATAAGTTTCGAAATAGATTGATCTAATTATTTTTGTAATTATACATAAGAAAACATTCCCGCAACAGCTCGTTGTGGGCCAGCAGGTCATGGAGTATAGGACTCCACAATTTCATTGATTATGGCGATATGGTCATTACTGCGCAAAGGCCACTTTAACTTCCCTAACAAGCAGGTAGCCATTGATCTTTTTATACAACACCAGATAAAATGAAATATCAAATTATGAAACAAAAAGTATTTTTCAAAATTGTTTTACTTTATTCAGATATTGGACTGGCGTAATCTTGTCAGATTTTTTTTAATATGAATGTAAGTAACTTTTGTAATGAAAATTATCCAAGATAAGGTTTTAAACACATTCTTAAAAATTGTTAACGCAAATGTCATCTACACTACTGAAATATTTTTCAATTTTATGAAATGATTACTTTTCGTTGAATCTCCAGCTTTAGTACCTATCTGGAAAGGGCAATAAATACACTTATGAGCTTTTTCTTGGGAAATATACTTTGCATCCGATTCTTTGTATTATTATGTCTAATAAAAAACAATATGTACTAGAAAGAAATGTTAATCAGTGTGAAAAATAAAATTTCTTTTGAAGTTCATCCTCAAGATACCTTCACTTTGATTTATTGCACTAAGTGTGAAGTTAATTAATCTGTGGATATCCTCTTAGAGCCATTGAAGCCCATCCATTGAAAAACACATTACACTATCATTCTACCTTTTTCTCAAAGAAATCCATATTTAAATAAATTGCAATGCAAATGACCTTAATACCAATCCTGTATAATTCGGGAATTCATTCCCCACATATTCCATTTAAAATAATTTTTCTGGGTGGCATATGGTCCTGCATTTCAAATTTTGTGAAGGCACTATTCTCCGTACTAAATGCCAATACAATACATATTTTTTTCTATTTTTCAGTTTCTGAATGTAAATCAATAATTTATTTGCAATCACTAACTTTTGTTATTTAATATTATTGAATGAGTAAACAAATGTAAATATAGTTTGAAAATATCAAGTTTTAACCGTTATATATAAACTGTAAAGAATTTAGCTGGTGTGTCATTATAATACTGTTTATTTCACAAAAAATACTGCTATTTAAAAACTGAAGCCCGTTTGTAATCAGACACGTACCGTTACTTTATACTCTTGCAAACTCTTTTATTTTAACTCTTTTATTTTAATTTTATCTCGTGCAAACTCTTTTATTTTAACAGCGTAGCAGAATTATTATTGTCAGTCTTTTTAGTTTATTCTTAGTTTATTACCAGTCTTTGAAAACTGTTTAGTGAAAAATAGCTTCAAACCATCAAATATACGGAGAAAGTTTGGGGGGGGGATGATTAAAAACAGAAAAAAATTCAAACAGATAATTTGAAAAATAAAAAAAAATTGCATCTGTAAAATTACCTTTAAACAGTTTTTTTCCGTAAAAATGTATTATTGTTCAGTAGAATTTACATTTATTTATTACAGTACATTTATTTATCTTCATAGCATTTTTAATATTCTTAGAGTGTTTCTTGGCTCTAAGGCAATTTTTGTCGAATTTTAAAAGAACAATATGTAAAGGATTCCTTGACCCGGCTCTCGTCCTTGCATGTTCAATCAGTAACCTTCATTTTACAAAAATGAATCCTATTTTGTAGGTCGCCCGACACCAGTTTTAACATGGTGGAAAGGATCTACACTTCTAGATGATTCTTACACACCCGTCGGTAGAGGATTAGTCAAAAATGAGCTTTTGTTGCTGGACCTTCAAAGAGAAGATCTACTGACAACGTTAACGTGCCAAGCATCAAACACTAACCTTACTATTCCCGTTTCCAGTTCAGTAACAATTGATTTGAGTTGTAAGTATAATTTATAAAATTCATTTAAAAAAAAAATTTAAAATATTCACCAATATGAGATTTTTAAATAACATGTTACAAATTTTAGTTGTAAAATCTAAACTCAGCTTAAAATAATTTGTAAAATATACATCCATATAAGGTATTTCACGTAATAGCATGTGCAAATTTTTAGGTATAAATTCATAAGTTGTTTCAAATGATATGTAAAATATTCACCATCATGAAGTAATTCAAATAGTAACATGCAACATGTTTTGAATACAAGTTTTAAAATTTATGTCAAATATTTTTTGAAATATTTACTAATACAAGTTTGTTCAAATAGTAAAGCTTATATTTTTCATATAATTTTCTTCATCATGCTATCATACAATTTTCTTCAAAGGACTTTTAAAATGTTCACCAATATAACGTTGCTTGAATAGTTATATGGAACATTTTTTATTTATAATTTCGTAAAGTGCTTCACATAATTTTTAAGACCTTAACTATTATAAAGTTTTTCAAATTATGGCATATAACTGTTTTTCGAGTATTAATTTAAATAATGAATCAAAATATCTACCAAATAAGTTCAAACAAAAACTAATGATTAAAATGTTTAAGTGTAAATTATAAAATGATTCACAACTAATTCATGAAATAATCCCCATTGAAAATTAGCAAGTTAAATAGTTAAGAGCAATTAATAGCAAGTAACAAATAAAATACTGCGACTGTAAACTATCTATTTTTAAATAAGGTATAAATAAGAATCGATCATTGTTTACGACATAAATTTATTAATAAACTGTTTAATATTGCAAAAATTTTGAATAAAATTCTTTGTTAACTTGTTTTTAAATAAAAACATTTTTTATTGTTTAAAATTTATACACAAGCAGCTTATTACTCACAAGAATAATAATTTCTTCATCCAATAGTATGACATATACGGCCTTGAAATAAATAAATAGGATATTCATTAAAATAGAATCTGAGCTATAACAATAACTATAACAGGATGTAATGAATTTCTTGTTTTAATAAAAGTTACGTAAATTTTGAGAATCAATATATTTCTTACTATTACATAAAGACGTAAAAGTCAGTACATGTATAAATAAAAATTAAGGTTAATTATAAAGATACTATTAAGTAGCAGTATAGAATCTTACTGCTATTAAGCATTTTCTAAGACGTTGCCCTACTAAGTCTTCACTTAAAGACATGATTGTCTAAATAATAAATCGTATTTATATATGTTGAAAATGTTTATTTCTGATACTAAGTGAAATTTCTCAATGACTGAACAAAGAATGAATACTATTTCATGAAATAAATTTAAGATAAATAAAAATTAAAACAAGTTAACTTTCCTTTTATTTTTAATTATCGCAATAACGATTTAGCACAATACAGTTACTATGATTTATTTCATATTTTATTGCCCTTCGTATTTCCGGCAAAATTAAATTCCTAGTGCACTTTAGCATCCAAATAGAGTCTCGGTGTTGCCATCTAGTGTGGCAGAAACTAAACGTCCAAATTATCATGACCAACGGTATCTCGCCCATTGTGGTGGTCCTGAAAGAGTGGATACCACCTCTGGAGAACGCACTAGTTCTGCTCATCGGCAAGATCGATTGTGCAGATCATTGGAAATTTTAACAAAAATATTTCAATTCATAAAATATGAAATTAAATCAGAACTAAATATGTCATTGAATCTAAATCTGAATAAGCACATGATTTTTTTTCATATATTGAGTTATAAAATAACAAATTAATAAGGTTTTTTTATCAATGAATTGAATAAAATGTACAACTTGCAAATTATCGAATACTTTCCGCTTTAAACAATCATTAGTTTAGAAATTGCCATAGCTAGTAATTTCTACATACCATAGAAATGACACTGAATTTCATCCATACTCGGAGAAACCAATAAACTCGTACACTTTATGACATGTATTTAATTATACATTTATTAAAATTGAATAATCATCTAAATCAAGAAACCTATAGAATAACAATATTCAGTATTTTTAAAGTAAAATAAATACTTTAATTGTTTTATACTTTTGAAAATTATGATTTTAATTTAACAATTCGCTCTAAATGCATAAACATAACATAAAATGATTAAGTTTAAGATATTTGTCGGATATTTGATGGTTATTTGAAAATTACTTAACTAGAGGATATAAACTAAAAAAAATAGTCTTATCTTCATATTAGTCATTTATTTTCTATTGTTATACACCACAAAATTACATTTTCAGCCAAACAAATGGACAAGATAAGAAAACCAATACACTCCATAGATTTTAACTCAGCTTATCCCAAATTGAAAAAAAATTGGAGTTGGCCTGGTACTCAAACTAACCCTTTTTTTTAAAAAAATTTCAACTAGCATCACATTGTTTTTATGCTCTGGTTTCATTATCGTATGTACCTAAAAAATTCAATTTTTATAACAATCATTCAAAAAAAAAATCGATTTTATGTACAGTAAATTGGTATTTAGAAGTTTCGAAATGTTGTTTCCCCCTCAGTTTGCAATTTTCGAGTTAAACACGTATTAATTTAAATAAGCATAAGTGAAACTGGTACATTTGGAACAATTGACCTTTGTTATGCACACAAAATATCTGTATGAAACTTTAATAGATATTTCTTTAATTGTTCACCCAAATTTATAACTTCTCAATTATCTTACAACAAGTATCGATTTATCTCATTATATATCTAGTATCGCCTCAAGAAGTTCACATTCTAACTCCCCGCAGACCTTTATCTTCCGGCGAGGAATTGGAAGTTGTTTGCCATACGTTTGGATCCAGACCTCCTGCCAAACTATCCTGGTGGGTTGGGTCAATGCCATTAAATGACCGAGCGAAAGAAACTGTTTCGGGAGATGGAAATTCTACTTCAAGTCGGCTGTTATTCCGTCCAACAAGCGAAGATCATGGAAAATTCTTAGTCTGTAAAGCCCATAACCCTGAAACACCAGACAGTGCCTTAGACGATAAATGGGAGCTGAATGTGCATTGTAAGTACCTCATTTATTGCAAAGTGTTCTTTTGCCATAAATGCTGAATGATTCCCTTAATGTACAGTTGGCATTGCCTGAGTTGCGTAATAAAGGTCACTGATAATATTAAATAAATGGGAAGTTCGAGAAATCTGCTAAAGTGTGATGATTAAATTGTGATTCGATAATGTAACTTAGGATTTTTACTTCTATTCGATCATTTGAAAATTTTAAATGCCAGTACACTTGATATAGAAAAGTTATTTTACATAAGATTTTAATTACAACGTCCATTTAAATAATGAAGACACAGCTACTGAAAAATGAAATTAAGGTCAGGTGACTAAGGATCGATTTTATACTAATTATTAGGTGCTGTAATTTTTCAATTTTCAAGATAGATAAAAAATCTGGTACAATTTTGCTCTCTTTTATACTCAGCTTAACTTACATCTTTTTTAGTTTGAAATATACTGCGTGTCATTAGCTTTTCTCAATCATTATAAACAGTTTTTGCAGTATATTTTTTTCTCGTAGCGTTTCACAACACCAACTTTTAGATTTGTAACTTAAGTCACACAGCATACGTTACGTGACTGATTATATATCCGAAAACAAAGACTCCCCATTTCGTTTTTTGAAGTTTTTGGATAATGTGTACATATTTTTCGTGCTCTACATTTCGGGTGGGAAAATTTATGTAATGAGCATAAAATGTGCCATGCAAAATCATTTTGTGTTTATTGAATAAATTTAAATGTTTCTTCGACTGTAATATCAAATTTTAAATTAATCCAATATATGTTTTAACAATTTCAGTTGCTCCACAACTTTCGTTAGCTCTTGGTGCAAGCCAACAGTACGAACACATACGAGAAGGAAGTGATGTATATTTTGACTGTAATATTCAAGCTAATCCTCCTGTCACAAGTGTCACGTGGACACTCCAGTCTGCTCCCTTAGAACACCAACCATCAATGGGAATAATTGTGAAAAACCACTCGCTTCTTCTGCAAAATGTTGGAAGAAGACATCGTGGGAAGTACCGATGTATGGCTGAAAATGAAGAAGGTGAAGGCGTGAGCGACGAAGCTCTGCTAATGATTCAATGTAAGGAGATTGAATAATTAATCAAACTACTTTTGCATCTGAAAATACTAGAAAGACTGAGTTGTTTTCAGTCTCAATTGGAAAAAAATATTATTGTTTTGTCCTTAGTTTATAGTCTGCTAATAGTTTATTCCTTAATGAGTTCAATGAGCCTGCAAACATAGCGTATAATAAAATATGTCTATAATTATTCAAACAAAAAACTTATGTTGAACTTAATAAAGGTGGACATTTCTTAAATACGCATTATCAATAATTACTAATATTAAACAATCATAACTTGTTGTGTAATTCAGTTTTTATTAGCAATATATTGCTGCGCGGCCATGCTTTTTAGGGCAAGTATTATTGCAGATATTCCCTTCAATTAGCTCCAAACAGCTTTTCGAGTTGAGAAAACGTCTCTTATTTATTATGCAAATTTTCAAGTGAAACTGTAGTTTTGAATGAATAAATAAATTTTAATAAAGCGTTGTACTCGACTGCAAATGAATATTGAAAAAAAAATTTTTTTTCATTGGTGGCTACTTTTCAGTTAGCCAGTTGCAAGGAAATTTAAATTAATTCTATTTCTTTTACATTTTTTTTAATTATTTTTTTTAACTAATTAAATTTTTTTGCGTTTAAAAAATAAGGAAATTCAAAATAAAAGTTGTTAAAGTTCTACATTTTTTCATTTTTTGGCACTCGACTAGCCAAAAATTACTCATTATTGTAAGTGATTTGTAAAAAATGTAATTTATTTCAATTATAGAATTTTTAAAGTTTATACTGGGTTATTAGCTGCAAAGAATACTTTAAGTACAGAAAGTAAATTATTATCATAAAACCAGCTTTTAATTCGTTTGAATATCAATATTTTTCTTAACTAACTTTAAAAAGAAGTGCAATATATAGATTGAAAATACTACGAATATCTAATAATTAGAAATTGCAAATATTACGGACATAGTTTACTGCTTTTTGTTTTCCTGTATAGCAAACTCAATCTTAATCATATAGTAATATTGAAGGCAATAACCACTATGACCCATACTGCATCTCTCGTCTATAAATAAAAAGGGATAAAAAAAATACATGCGTTTAGTTTTTATGAGTATTATATGTATTAAACATGGCATCTTTAATCCCTTAGTGAAATAAGTAAAAAAAAATACAACTATTCCTGTTATTAACTTCTTTCTTGTTTCAGTCTCGCCTGTCTGCCTGAGTGGACAAAGACGAGCGTATGCAGTAGCTAAACACGAAGAAATCAACGTAACTTGTGAGGTTGATGCAGATCCTGAAGATATACAGTTTAGGTGGATGTTTAATAACACATCTGAAATGATTGATATAGTGACATTTACATCACTTGCTACACGAAGCATAGCTTCCTACATTCCTAGGTCGAAGATGGATTACGGCAGCCTTAGTTGTTGGGGAAGAAATAGTATAGGAGTGCAAAAGCAGCCTTGCATGTTCTCTATTGTTCCGGCTGGTGTGTATATAGAATATTCTACTATGCTTGACTTTGCCATTATATATTTTAAATAATGTTTCTTTTCGCAATTTTATTTCAAATAGAATAAATTAATAATGAGTGTTTTTTCATATGTAAGGTAAATGATTAGTAATAAACACTTTAACAGAAAAGGAAATTGTGTACTACCGAGCAAATTTGAAAACAGCGTAAGTCTATTGCTGAAAATATGAAGACTTAAATGGAATTTTAAAAAAAACTGATGAAGCAAAGTTTAATTTTGGAGAAAAAAATTTCAATATATAGCTTATCCTACGAAAATGTCAAGTATATAAAAATATCAATTTTGAATTTTTTGTGTCGCTTACATTGATTTTTCCGTCGCAGTATAATAAACCAATTTCCACAAAACCTAAGAGCTTCTAGGTAAAGTATGAAGAAAGTGGTTTGACAACTATTTTCTTTTAATTGCTAATTCTGTGAGAAAGAAAATAAAATCTCAAAAATTGATGAAAATAATTATTTTTAAAATTTCAAAAATTCAAAGTATATAAAATTCTCAATTTTGAATTGTTCGTCACCTACATTGATGTTTCCATTGAACGGTATTGTTTTCAACGACCATCCGCAGAACTTTCGAGCTTAAAAAACCATTCAAAATATATAATTAAATCAGTTAAAGACATTTTTTACTGATAAGAAGCTATAATTATTTTCATGCAATTATAAAATAATATGAAACACAAATTATAATTAACTAAATCTAGAAATGAATAACACAGATGTGAACTTCCAAACATGAATGTTTTTTTTCTGAAGAATATAATATTTAAAGAAGAATAGAATAAAGTATTTAAATAATCTAGAGATGGCAATCATTTTTTACCCAGTGTGTCAAAATTTTGAAAACCCTAACATTGTTTCCGTATCACATTTATAAATAATAATTTTATACTGATGTATAAGAGCGAATTTCATTATGGTTTCAGTTTTATTATGCGGGAATTTAGTTTGTGTGTCGCTCAATATGAGTTCGCGTGACACCTCTAACAACTATGTCATAGATTCGCCATCAACGGTATCAAGTAAACTTTAGTATGGCATAACTCTTCAGAATGTTTAAAGCTGCCTACCTTTCTGTTAAACCGTAATTTATCGAATACATGAAGCACGCTAAAAACATATATTCTTTCTGTTTTTTCTTTCCTTGTCCTTTTATTATCGTCTTAATATTTAGGGACAACAGATAATAAGCAACTCTTAATTACTTTCGCTTTTCTTAAAATTTTATCTTGGCAAAATGCTTCCCTTTGATTTGTATAAATGTAAAGAGATTTAAATTAAATTTTAATAATATTTATTTTATCATTTTTCTTCTGCAAAGAAAGTGTATAGCTTAAATTTCTTCTTCATGCAACTATTTAATCTGAAAATACTTCGTTACAAAACCACAAGTTTTTCTGCTCTTAAAAAACCAGTGTTTAAGAGCTACTTAATTTCATGTTCAAAATTCAGAGGCATGATGTTTTTTAATTAAAAATCCTTAATTAATACATTTATGTTTTCCTAATATCTTTATTATTAATACATATAACTTTTTCAAAGAATAGTGGAAATGGCTTTCGACTAGGGCTGTTCGGAAAATAATTTCATTTTTTTTCCTCAACAGACGACTTATTTATATTTTTTCCCCACTAACTTCATATAATCATTATGCATTTTGACAAATATAATCATTATGCATTTTGACAGCTGGTGTAGCAACACTTGCTTGTGAAAAAGTTGGACAGACTCTATGTAGTAGTTTTTGGTAGGTGTACTTTTTTCAGATATGGAAAGAAAAAAGCAGAATTTCACATAAACATTTTATATTTTGACAGCTGGTGTAGCAACGCTTGGTTGAGAAAAAGTTGGACAGATTCTATGCAGTAGTTTTTGGTTGGTGTACATTTTCAATTATGGAAAGTGAAAAGCAGAATTATTAGCAGATTTTATTTTTTGTACTATTTAAAAAGGAAATTAATTGCCCAAGAAAAAATAGCCCATATATATGTATGGAAATGATGTATTGGCAGTAAGCTAGAGTAAAAACTGAGTTCGTGAAATTTCCATAAGTCAAAATTTCGATTAAGATGCACCACTTCAGTTGAATCTGAAAAAGACACAATAAGGGCATTATTTGATCCAAACTGGTGAATAACAACTCACGAGATAGCCGAGAGATTAAATTTATTGAATTGGACCATTCATGACCATTTAATAAACAAATGTACAGATTTATTCTCAAAGCTCGACATAAGGGTTCCTCATGTTTTTTACGAAAAGAAATTTGTACCCACGAGTGGATGGCTGAAATTTTCTTCTCAAACGAAAAATTACCAATTTTTTTTTGCGCATCATCAGTGGGAACAAGAATTGGACTGCCTATAACAATGCTACGTTTACTACGAAATTTTTGTGTTAGTTTTTTGCCATTTAAGAACAAAAAAAAATTCGCTTGCCATAATGCTACTAATAAAGAAGATGGCAGAAAGTATTGAACCAAAATGAACAATTTTGATTGATTGAATATTTATACATGACAGGAAAATCGCCTTTCATTTTCACGAAAAAATTAATTTTATAAGCAAAGCGAAATACTTAGAGCTTATATCAGTCGTTATAATTAGAATTTGATAGAACAGAATTAAATTTAAGAGAGAGATAAAAAACAATGTTTTATTTTCATAATTATGTGTTTTTATTGTAATGTAAGTTTTTGTTGAAGAATATAATGATTCAAGCAATCAAGTTTCAGATACCTCAATTTATCTGTAATCAAATTAATTAACTGTTCAAATTTTTAAAAAAATTAGATATTTTTTCTATATTAAGTTTAAAAAAATGTATTTGGTTTTTTCTAAATAATAAGCAAATAAAATTAAAACAAATAAAATTAGAATAATTAAAATTAAATAATTAAAATTAAACACAAAATATTAAAAGTTGAATTATTTATTTTTAATTTTACGCTTCAAATTCTAAATTTTCTAAAATAAAGATCATGATATCGGTTACGTTATTTTATTTTATCAGTTACGTTGTTAAGCAAGTCAAAAAATTTCTATTAAAATAAAGACCTATATATTATTTTTTTATTCAAATTTATGTTATAATTTATTATTATTTATTTTTCGGGGAAAAATACACAAGTTAGGAATTATATATTATTTATTGTTTGTATTATGATTTGTTTTATTATTTTGTTTTAGGCCCCCCTGACCCAATACAAAATTGCACATTGATGAGTCAAACTTCCAGTAGTTTTATAGTGAATTGTATCCCAGGAATCGATGATGGTGGAGTGAAACCACGGTATAATATATTAGCTGTAAATACTCGTTTAGGAGAGGGCTATAAAAACATTAGTCTCTCAACTGAGAAACCTTATTTTGCTTTGAGAGAGTTAGAATCAGGTACGACTTACCGGTTATTGATGTATTCATCAAATAGCAAGGGACGTAGCACAGCAATTGAAATGATGGCGACTACTTTATTTTCTGCAGAAAGAAGAACAGGTTAGTGTACATATAGGGTGTCTCAAAATGCTAGCAAATTGTAATTTTTTGGCCATCGGTGCAATAAAATGTTGCCAATAAAAGAAATGACAGCAGCGTTTTTAAAAGATAAACGTTAGATGGATTTTTTTTAAATGAATGGTAGATTCCTTTTATCTGGTCTAGTAATTTTATCATGTTAAAATATTATTCACAGCCATTGACCATTATTCACGCAGCANAATGTATTATATATATATATATGCATGCAGCTGGCGGTGACGTCCTGGAAGTAAGATATGTTCAACACTTGAAACTGACACAACGTAGGAAGGACACAATCATGTTAAATTATGAAATGGATGTCGGAATTATGCTCACCATAAATTTGAATTTGCATCTTCAACTTCAACTCTCTGAAGCATGCTTTACACGAGTATTTCTATGATAGTTATTGGCACTTTCTCTGCGGGACAAACGCTGAGTTTCCTCACTAATTTTAGGATTGCAGTTACACACAATCCAAAAATTAGGGTTTACCAAAATTAGGTTTACCAAATTAGGTTTACAAAATTAGGTTTACCAAATTAGATTTACCTAATTAGGTTTACCAAAGTTTTAAAATTAGGTTTAAATTACGAGGTGAAATTTTGTCCAAAAAGTTCTTTATAAGGCAAATCTTAGCTTACAGCAGGACTGTTCATTCCTGCCACCATTATACCAATTCATAGTTGAATAAAAAATTATAAGTTTTCTATGACCTTGTTACTTGATAACTAGAGTTGTCGTCTTGAAAGTATAATGGGTTCAACGTTTGAAACAGACAAAACGTAGGAAGTATAAAATGTAAAATTATGTAGCAGGTAGCGGATTTCAATTTACCATAAATTGCGATAAAGAAACCAAATCAATTCCAAGTAAAAAAAATTCCCCAGTCCGTAAACGCACTACCGACGAAATGAATTGATTGAGCCATGATGGCTCAGGAGATAAAGCGTTCGCCTTCTAGTGAGGTGAACCGGGTTCGAAAGCCAGCGATACGAATTCCGCACGTGTCTCGCACCGACGACAATGCTGGCGTAAAATATTCTTAGTGGTAGACGAATCATGGGTTAGAGTTCTCTTGCCGGCAGGTTAACTGAAGGATACTTTCGTGGTTTTCCTTTCTATGTGACGTAAATGCGGGTTTCATCAAAAAGTTCTCCCCGGAGGCAAAATTTTTCTCAATACTTTATCCAAGAGTCTCCATGTTTTCTGAATTGGGTTCAAAATTACAAGACTACGGATTTGAACGTTAGTAGCCATAACCCCAAAATTGAGTTGGATGTTCAACGACGGTTATAAAACACAGGATGTGATTGGATTTTTACAAACTCATTGATAAATAGTTGTGTTCTTTTAATTTCCTGAAACATTTTATTTACCAGTTTTAATAAGATACTAAATATTCTAAGTGTGCTAATGTACTTTTTTTAAAAATATTTTTTTACTTGCAGGAGATGAACCAACGATAGCCATTAGTGCTGTATTGGCTGTACTAATGGGTTTAGTTGGTGCTCTTGTCGGTTTGGCGATATTAATAATTTTAATTATGAAAGCAAGAAGTGGAAGTGAAAACTCAGGTAACTATACAGTTTTATTATTAACTATAGTTAGATTTATTCTTTCATTTCATGTGGCTTTATATCTTTTTTCCAATTATTTTTGACGAAACGCTTTATAATTAGTGAGCAGAAGTAATTTTGTTCAAGATACGTGTGAACGATTGAAATTTATTTATCTCGCTGTAACCTGACTGTGAATTAGATAGTAATAGGACTTAAAAATAGTCTGCTAAAGCGACCACTTAGTGGATTAGATGATATAAATGGGGTAGGTAAAATAAATGGTGCCGGAATTCTTAGGTAATGTCCGTGAATATTTATGAAGATTCTCTGAATTCCGACAGAGTCATCTGTTTTTCGTCAACCGTTAAATTATTGTGCACTTTTCATCAAAACCATGAGATTAATTTTTCATTATTTCACCACAAAAATCATAATTATTTGAATTGAATTTCATAGAACTGTTATCGTTTTACAATTATTTCAAAAGTTGCCATTTTTACATGAAAAAGATTTTATTTTTAATTTTACATCTACGAATAATACCATAATAGCAATAAAACACATATTTCATGGCAAAAATAAGTAATGTGATTTTTTCTGTTTTTATGTTAGTAATAATTACTTCAAAGATTTTTCAAAATCTAAATAATTCAAAAATACATTTGTCTATTTTAAATTATCAAAGAAGCGATAAATTTGTCATCATAACCAGAAAAAAAATTTATCGACTGGACAGAAATGCAGCTCTCGGCTTGCACCGACCACAATCTATGGCATAGTTATGTTGGATAATTTTGTTATGGAAAAAACAGAGTTTGTATTTTAAAATAACGGAGTATGTGTTAAAAAAACAAGCATCTGTCGTTAAATAACAGTTATTTGGTTTGAAATAAATGGTTTCTTACATGCACACCGATGGACAGTTTTTTTTTCTAAATCTAGCAGATTTTTTTTTTACATTTCTCCATCGAGGGCATTCCTTTAAGTTTTAAATTTCAAATCAAGGATTTTAAGATGAATGACATTCCTATAATGTATCCAATTAATTGAATTGATATTATTCGTAAATTTAGGTAAAACTAAACAGTTGTTTTGATATTTTCATTAAATTGCTTGCAATTTAATGAAAATCTACTTTCATTATATTGATTAACATTAATTTATATCTTATGTATTATGTAATAAGATATAAATGAATTTGTAAATCTATGCTTAATCAACTTCATTTTAATCGTCATAGATCTAAAATTTATTTTAGAAAACTTCTACTGAAATGACAAGCATTTTTAAATTCTGTGAACAGAGATTTAAAAAAAAGAAGAAAATGAAGTTCTGTTATAAAATGAAATATAGAATAATTAAACTTAAAAAAATTACTTCGTGTATTTCGTATTAAAGAAGTATAAATATATATATTTTCTTACAAAAAAATATGAAGAAAAAGTTAATATCTCAAATAGATATAAAGTTCTCCGCCTGGTTAATTTATAAATTACTAAAATCAGTTTATTTATCAACGACTTTGTATTTTAAATTAGTTTATTTCACGAGAAGTAGCTAAGACAAAAAATTTATATATTTATTTTTTAGAAAATACTTACAACACTGTTTATATGCTTAGACAGCTTCCTTCTAAAATATGTCTTCATATAATGAAGACGGATGATATGTTTTAAAGTCTTTCTGTCTTCACATTAAAGAATGACACTTTTTATGATATATATCTAATGGATTTCTATCTATTCAGTTTCAAAACTGTCATCTATTAATTACTTATTTAACGAGAAAGCATTGGTTTTCTTATAAATTATTTTAATCATTTTTAATTCTGTCCTAGAGAAGAATTTCTCATAAGTTAATGAAAAAGTTAACCATGTTTCTTTTTTCGTGCTGCTAAGATTTTGATGCTTAAAATAAAATATGCATTCAGATAGTCAATATTGCATTTTGCCTGTTTTAATATTCATTAATATTTTCCTTAACACAACCGCTAGCATTTATCTTTAAAAAAATAGAATACATTTATTGATTGTGATTCATTTTGTGAATGTATTGCCTTTTTCTCCATATTTGGCGTTTAATTATTTAGGTGATAGCCAAGCATTTATAGTTATTAAATATGAGATATCTTAATATGATAATATGATATTGATGTAAAATATTACTTTATTAAAGAGTTCACGAAATTCGTTATTTCTCAACGAAAAGTTCTCACGAGATTTTTTATTTCACGATTTCAAACTTTTTTGTTTCAGTGAGAGCGATTATTTTTTACCCATGTACATACGAAGGTGGATCAAATGAGACTTCTTCAATAGCTAAATATTAAAATAGTACTTACCAAAAGTACAAAAGCATTATTTTTCTACATAATTTCCATGAACACAATTTTTAGAATTTTTTTTTTTAAATTTCCGGTTGCATAAAAAGAAATAGGCCACGTAGTGAAACAATTGCCCACAAAATATTCTTTCTCTTCATTGGATAAAAATCTCCCACTTCTAAAAGGTTTCTTTAGGGGGTCCTAACAAATGGTAGTCTGCAGGTTCGATGTCCAGGCTAGAAAAAGGATGTTCAACTGTTTCCCAATGTAATGCCTTGTAGCTTTTGTAATGCCTACAACTGCGACTTTATGAGGTGTCGCATTGTCCCGTTGCGGCATAACTTTCCGTATCGGCTTGTCGCGTCATTTGGTCCGTTAGGCTGCTTTGACTTTCTTTAAAAGTGCACAATAATTTGCATGAATTGTTCATCGTTCATGAAGGAAATCTACATGCGAAAACACTTATTTACTTATTATTATTGCTATTATTAATTTACTAGCAGATAATCTGAATTTTGGTTTGAAAAGAGCTGACTCATTTTTCCTGGAACGCTTCGTTTAAATGAGCGTAGTGATGCACCCAAAATTCATCACAAGTTAAGATGCAAATAAAAAATGAATCTCCTACTGCTTCATAGCGACTCAATTATCTTAGAAAAAAGTCTTTTGCTGCATCATTTCGATTTTAGTTTAAAATTCTAGGCACCCATCCTGCTGTGATTTTTCGATATTTTAACTACTCGTAATGAATTGTGCTTAGCACACTTTCATGGCTTATCTCTGATTCAGCACTAATTTCTCGAACTATAAATCAATGGTTATTATTAATTGCCACAAACTTGCTCAATTTTCTCTGCTGTAAAACTCATTCTTGGACGTCGACAAGTTTTCAACTTCTTCTCTGCTTTGTTTAAATAAAGTGTGCCATTTGCATACTTGAGCACTAGACAGGGTATCACTGTTGAACTGCGCCTGCAAATTCATTCTATTTTATAGCCGTCATTGAACAGCCGACTGATTTTTTTAGTTTGAGACTACTAATGTTCAACTCAGTATCTTTTTAATTTTGAACCCAATCCAGAAGACGAGGGAACTTCTTGATCAAGTAATGGGAGAAGTTTGCCTCTGTGGAGGACTTTTCTGATAGAACTATCCCGCATTTACGTTACATGGAGAGGAAAACTACCAAATCCTTTCCTTGTTAGCCTGACAGCAAGGGGACTCTAATCTTTGATCCGTCTACGACTGAGGATATTTTTACATCAGCACTGTGGCCGGCGCAAGCCGAATGCGGATTTCGTATCGACCAGCCATCGCTGGGATTCGAATCCGGGTCACCTCATTGGAAGGTTAAAGCTCTATCCCCTGAGCCATCACAGCTCAGCCCAGTTATTTGTGAAAAATTTAAATAAGTTTAACATTTTCTCATTTTTAAAGAAAATTAATTATTATGTGTTGTGCAACTGCATTAGGAACATTTCACCCGTTCATGATTCAAGCTACTAAAAAAAGAACTTACAAAGAAATAAACACTGTCAATCAATTATAAAGACTCTAAGATTGTTGCCATGATAAAGATAATAAAAATCAACTGCTGTTATTAAAGAAGTCTCATATACATTTTATCCATCTGCTTATAAAATATAGAGAATAAATTAAGAAAAGTCTGAATTTCTCATTAAAAATGAACTAATATTGAAACCAAAAAGCACTTTCAAAAGTCTTTAGCAATGTGCCGACTATGATATATTTTTGGTATTTAAAATGCGAGCTCCATTTTCTGTTATTTTTTAATATTAGTTACGTCTTTTAATAAAATTTGCATTGTTCGCTTTATTGTTAGAATTGTTCAGAAGCTCAGATATATGTTGTATGAGACCCATATTCTAAAATAAACCTAAGATAAACATGACAAAGAATGTGTCTGCTGTTTGTCAAAGCTTTTGTCTTTTTTCAATAAATAGAAAGTTTGTAATTTTTGTGTAAAATGAAAAACAGAAATTTAAAATAAAGGAGTATTAAGAACCATACGTTAAATAAATACGACCAATTATCAATAAAGTTTACCTAAGGAAAATAATTATTTAGCAAAAGGTTTAATTTTCCTATAATGAGAAATTTAGTTTCAAATTTATAATTTACATAAACGTTTGCATTAATTCTCGCCGAGATAAAAAAATTTCTTAATTTTCGTTTAAAATAAATAATTGCTTTATAAAAATACTACTCACAAAGAGGAATCAAAATTTGTTAGAAATTATTAAAAATTTGCATTAAGAAATGACAAAAAATTGATGATTAATTGAATTTAATTATTTGAAAGTTTTAAAAAGCTAGTAATATTAATGAAGATTTTCAAACAAACACGAAATAATACAAAGAAATATTTGTTTTTATCCTCAGAAATCTCGAGTCTTGTGTTTTAAGAATTTTCCTTCGTTATTTTTCGGATCCCGTGAACTCCAATTTTTTTCCTACCTTTTCTCTGCTCCTAATATAGTTTATTATTGAACAAAACTAAATTAAAAGGGGCGAAAAGCTGTGAAGGATTTACTAAATAGCACACGAATGAATAGTTTGCTTGAAATATAAACGAGGCGATTATTTATAAATTTGATAAAGAATTCTATTGTAATTCAGACAAAAAGAAACTTTGGAAAGCACGTTTCATTTATATCAATTATAATTTTGCCACAATCAATTCAATTTATAATTTTGATAAAGGTTATAATTTTTATACAAGGATTTTCAGATGGTACCAAACTAATTTATAAGCACTGTTAAGTGTATGCAGCCATAATAAAGTTATAAAGTAAAAGAACAAAATTTTTAAGAATTAATTTCCATTAGGGCAAAATTTGAAACTTATTATTCGAAGTGGAACAAAGTCATCACATCATCATTACATCATAATTTGATTAAAGAAATTCCTAAAAAATTACAAATAATTATTTACTCATTTATATAAATAACAAGCTCTTTATTGAGGATTGCTGCCTTTTTAAGTAACAGTTCAAGTGTTGGTGTTTTCATCTCTAGATGAGTTTATGCAGCTATAAGTTAATCTATCTTTTTTAGGTTCACTTTTCATTTTCACATGCATGTGCTCGCTTTTTGACCCATTCTAACATGAATCATCCTGTACAGTGAATTTTTTTCTGATTGCAGAAATTTAAATTTAAATTTTTTTTTTCAGCTGAACAAGAAGAAAGTAATGAGAAGTGAGTAATTTTGTATTTAATTTTAGATTTTAAAAGTTTGATACATTTTTTTCAAGTTGCGCTTATTATTAAAAATTTATAAAAATATGGTTAAAATAAAACAAATTTTAATTAATTATATTTCTTTGTTTTCAATCTATTTACAGGATGCAAACATCAAAGTTGAAGCATTTTGAAGATGATAGTCCTGATGTAATACCTTCAAAACCATTTTGCACAGGTTTACATTTTAATATGTTACCCAACAAGTAACAATTTCAAAACTTACAAATTTACTTTCCTATTTCCTGAAATAAGTTATGCATTTAAAAATTGAGTTAGGCATAGAAAAAATAAAATAAATGCCTGGAGGCAATGCTAGCCACGTTTTCCATGAATGAAATTCCAGATGCGTTCATTAAATATTTTCAATAGTTGAATGGCGATAAAATAAGCAAACACATCTTATTGCTTACGTGAAAACTTTTAAAAAGCTTTTAAAAATAGTCTCACATTATTTTCAATGCTAAAGCACATATTTGAATTTAAATGTTTTCCTAAGTAACACTATTTTTCACTTAATTAAATTTTTATAAGTAACATAACAAATAACAGTGTAACAGTAGAGAAAAATTAATAACTGCTTTTTTTTAAATTTTTGACTGCCTTAGCTTTTATGAAAATACCAATGCAAAACTTGAAGTATTTCCAACAAATGGAAAAAAAACAGACTTCAAATAAGAGACTCTAGACAATATAGTGACAAGCTTCACTTTTAATTCGGTGACATTATTGTATAAAATTGCTCTATAGTATTTTTTCCTTGAGACATATGCTGCAAGTAACAAAAATTTTCACTAGAAAGCAGCAAAATACACAAAAACATCCTATTTCTCATAAATATATCGCCATTTTTTCACTGGAAAATTCTCCCCTGATTAGTTTTAAAATTTTATTGGCTTAAACCCTTAAAATAAAAATTTTATTCCATGAGTAATTTTAAATTTAACTATTCTGCCATGTGCAATCTTATTCTGAACACATTTAAAATTTAATACACTATACATCAAGCAATTTTTAAAAAAAATAAAAATAAACATAATTGAATAATTTCGAATCACTTATGTCCTTATGGAAATATTAATGTTAACAGGAAAATAAAGTTATTGAAAAAGTTTTATGTGATATTGAGACCAGCAATACCTTCCCATGGGTGTCATTCAGTTTACAAATTTACAATCATTTCATGAGACGGCAACACCATAAACAACTTATCTTGCATTAAAAAAATCAATAATGTTTTTTTTTCTCTTAAAACTCTCTTCCGTACAATTTGGTGTTTCATCATTATATTACCTCTTGCCAATCAATCAAAATAGTCCCCAATATAAAATTTTCATATTTTTTTCTTCTTCATACATTTCAATTTTAATAAGGAGTAAACTTTTAAAAGCATTTAAATTATTTTTTTAATATTAAACTTCTTAAACTTTCCTGCAGTTTGGAAATATCGTTGTTAAACTTAAAGCTTTACCGAAAGAACAGAAGTATTAGGAAAAAGAACATTTGAAATGGAATTGGTATTCTTCGTGTCACCCTCATGTAGGGAAATTTCCCACAGACATGTGATCTAAAACTCGAAAAGATGCCTGCGGGCACGAGGTATACCAGAGATATTTACATAAACATAGTTTTCTATGTTTGCTTTTCCTCCATAAGTCACGTCACATGTGCTCGGAAGAAAAGACTATGTTGACATTTTTTTTTCTTCTTTACGCTGCACTCCACTATTTCCTTTCATAGTTATTCGCTTTTTTTTAGAAAAAAAAGAAGGTAAAACCTCTTGAATTTATTTACAAACTTTCAATATGTTGCGGAAAATATATTAAAATTTAGCAACACAAAAACAATAGAAAAGTTTTAAAGAAATATTATTAAATGTTACTGTTTTCCTTTTTCTTTCCTTAATATTCATTTATGTTTCTTAGTCATAAATTGTTTTTGAAGTAAATTACCATACATATTTCAAAGTAACTGATATATTTAACAGTTATTGACCTAAATTACTGAGATTAAGTATTACTGAGAATATATGCAAATTTTGCGACTAGAAATCAATGAAACGTTTATACTGAGATCAAGTTAAAATATTTAAAAAAAGGTATGCATTTATGTTTCCCTGATTAAAATTTTTTTTTAAATTATAAGACTCATTTGGGATTTGTACTTAAAAGGAAATTCACAAAACAATTAGTATCTAATAGATTCCACTGACATTATATGACCTTATGATATGAGTAGCTTAAAGAAAATAAATTTCTATGTACTTGTCTCAAAGTAACTGACATACTAAAATCAGCTAAGAATATATAAGGATTTATCATCATGATATCAATGTAAAATTTCTGCTGTTTACTGTATGTATTTATGTTTCCCTGTAGTAGAAATATTCAGAAGTGTATAGCCCTTGATATATAGAAGTGATAGAAGTGTATAGCCCTCATAAAATGATCTACTACTAACTTATAACTAAACTCAGTGGCGCGACAGCCCATAGAGGGCCAAGGCCTACTGTGCCCATCTCAGTTTTCTTGACCTTGGGCTCTGGGGTGCAGGAGCAGATGTTCCGGTCAGGTGGTCAGCCGAACGCGGAACCCCAGTGTTTAGTTCCCAAGCATGCTTGGTACTCATTTATCGACCCACTGAAGGGATGAAAGGCTGAGTCAACCTTGCCCGGCCCGAGGATCGAACCAGGGACCTGTGGCACGACAGCGCGAAGCGCTACCGCTCAGCCACCGGGCGTCACTACAAACTTATATCTGCATAAAATTTCTAGTCATTGAATAGCCTTTTGTTATCTGCGTTGTTTCGACTAGTGTTGTGGTGTGACTGACATATTTCTAAGTAACTGACGTATTTAAGAGAAATTTATCTATTTAAAAATTTGCTGACATATTCAGAGTAACTGACACATTAAAAATGATCGAAAATTTATTCAGATTTATCAACAGAAATGCAAAGAAATATTTGTGTATTGGTCTAATTAAAATAGGAAAAAAAAATATATAATGTATTCACGATTCCCTATGGAAGAAAATTTCAAAAATATATAATCTAAATATAACTCGTGAATTTATAGATTGCCGATTTATTTCTGCGTTGATTTTCTAGTCATTTAATAACCTTACAATATCAGTGGGGCTTAAAAATAATGAAGTAACTGACAAATATTTCCATAGTCAGTTGTGTTCAAATGTGGTGCTCTCATAATTAGTGTTGTCTGAAAAACGAACGCATCTATATTTTAGTTATTATTATTTTTATGAATCGATTCATAAAGTTCATTTTGAAAAGAAAAAAAACTAATCAATTCCTTTTTTTTCGGTCATTAAAAAGTATTCTTCACTGCCTTAGCTTATTCAGAGTTAGTACTTAAAATTACCGCGCAATTGCATATGCGTTTACAAGTTGCTGCATGCACGAATGAGAATAAAGCTGAAATGTCAACGTACCACCGGTCTCCAGAGGTGCGTGTATTTCAGCAATGCAAAATAAAACGGACTCACTTGAATAATGAAGAGAATTAAATCCTTTTAATTCACTACGTACGGATTGACCGTTCTCGGCGCAATGAAAATTGCACATCAAACTCTTTTCATTTAAGAAATTATTTAACTTCATTGATAAACAGCTATTTTAATGATAGCGATGACAATTGAACAGTTGTCTTCTTTAGTGTTGGTTCTACATTTGAAATAAAATGAAATTAAAGCTGTAAAGTTCAGATATTATTTGTCTGTATTTTTGTATTAAAGAGCGTATTTGTTTGACGCAAATCTTTGTAAATGCAGAAATTTTACGAAAAATAAAGCAAAGCAGAGTTACACGTTATAGTTTATTCAAGACAAAGAAGCGAGATTTGCAGAAAATGAAACCGTTGCGCTGATTTGATAAGATTGGATAAACTGAAGTATGAATAAAAACCTCTGAACGGTAGAAAAAGAGCAGAAAGAGTGAAGAAGAACGGAGAGTCGAATAAATGACTCAATGATCTGCTTGCCTATCTCTTAGCATTAAAAGAATCATTTAGCCAAAGGAATCAATTCTTTCGAACTGTATCCCATCTTTTAACATTAAAAGAACTGTCTGTGTCAAACGAATAGATTCTTTTGAGTCGTTTCGTATCTTTAACATTAATATGGTCTCAAAAAGTTGATTGTTAGTTTCATTCAGCTCTTTTGAGTAATCCTTTTCTTTAACATTGCACTCGATTCATTAAACTGTTTAAATGATTCTTTAAGTTGGTTATTCGATTCATTTGACCCGTTTCATATCTTTTAACATTAAGAGAGCCGATTTGTTAAACGAATCGATTATTTTAAGGTCTATCTTATTGTCTAACTTCTTATCTTATCGTCTTGTGCATAGTTATGACGCCGTTTTAAGGCAGATGTTTTTTTTTTTCCATTTTAGATTTAAATTGAAAATTTCATATTTTTGTAATTAAAAAAAGTTTTGGGTTCTATCTTATCGTCTTAAGGCATGCATACACGGTGGGAGGGGAGATATGAAACCGTTTTAAGGTAGATGATATTTCTTATTTTATTATTTATTTATTTTTTTAATTTTAGACTTAACATGATATTTTTTCAATTTTTTGTTATTAAGAAATAGTTTTTAGTGACATTTTTTTTAATATTTAGAGGTGTAACCTTTTCATGTAGATGAAGGTTTTATTTTTTACATCTTTTTTAGATAAGGGATTATATCTTCTTATTATATTACGCCTTCATATATCTTATCTTATTATATCTTCAATTCTTATCCTTCGCACTTACATAGTTGCATATGCATACCTATAGCCAATAATTTTGTTGAACAGAAATTATTTCTTGATTTTCTCAGGGGGGGGGGTGAATTGTTCACTTGGAAAATCTTTTTCTTTGAAAAATAACTTATCACGCCGTATCATGTGATTGTTCTTTCTCACTTTTAGCTTTGTTTTCTGAAGTTTCACAGAATATTACTTGCGATAAAATATTTGGGAGATTTTCATTGCATTAGAAATAAATAATAAAAAAAAAATTTAAATTAAAAATGAAGCAAGTCATCAAAAGTGAATTTTTTTTCTTATAAAATGGATTTGAATATTTTGGCGTGATAGAATGCTCCCATGAGCCCTGCTGACATTGATAGATTAAAATAACATAGATAGTTGGATCGTTGATTTGGTTAACTAGAATGGTTGAATACCTTAACCAGTTGATTGTGTCATTATGAGCCATTTGCTATTTTTTACCTTAGAAATCGACCGAATTTTTTATAATGATTTATTTTTATTAAGGGACTCATTTTGATTTTGAGATGCATTTTATGCTATTCCGAAATTTAATTTTATTTTAGAAAATTAAAATTTCATGTATTATAAAACACATTTTTTTTGCATTCAATTTTTAATACGAGGAAAAAAAAAACAAATTTGGAAAGCTTTGTTAAACAAAAAATCCTTAAATTAACAAAAAACTGTATAATTGTCAAAAAGAATCAGTTTCATTGAAAAATCATAGGAATCGCTGTTATCCCAAATGCCCTATTCCACTACATTCAAAAGTATATGTAGTAAAGAGCCAACTGCTCTAGATATTTTTTTTTACAAATTTTTGGTAAAAAAAAAAATTATGAATGGATTTATTAAATAAATATTTCTGGTTTACTGATTTAAATCGACCATTCAGTTAAATCGATCGTTCAGCACATCACTACTCACAAAGGAATTTTAATCTGAAATATCGAATAACTTAAATGTCTATTTCTTTACGCTCTACTTTACATCAAGAGGAGTATAAAATTATTTAGTTTCGTATTTTTAAACATGACTTTCTTTCAATATTGAGAATTTCATTTTTATTTTTTGAATCTCTCTGAAATTGAAACAAAAAATTAATTCAAATTTATCATGGGAATGGTGTAGTATGTTTCTATCGCAGTGTTGTAGTCAAACGTAAGTGTTAGACGTAAAGCACATGCATTTAAGCGTAACTATAGTAAGTGTTAGAGTTTTGGGAGTAAAACCTTATGAGTAATGTATAGTCAACTTTGCTTTCGTTAAAGGTATAATAACTGTTTACACGGTACTGACACAGTATGTTGCTATGGCAGTATGTTGCTATGGTATTCTGTCACAACCGTAATTAACAATATTTTAGGGCTTTGATTAACGTAGATTTTCAATTATCCTCGTTTCTCACTTAAAAATATTATCAAATTTCACCCCAATAATGCTACATCGCGTCACATACGCATGTTTTCTGTATAGTTTGTAAAAAATTAATATTTAAGGAGTGCGTGTAATTAAAAAGCATTCAAAGCATAAATAAAAAGAAATAGTTTGTGAAATCATAGCTATTATACCAATATTATTAAATGCGCAATATAAGTTTGCTAAAACAATATTCTTATGATTTCCATATCGTTTATTGACGAATTTTTGATACATATCTTTACATTGATGCTTAAAACAAATATCATACAATAATTAGTTATGTAGCATATAAAATGTTATTATTTCAGAATTAGTCAATTTCTGCTCTATATTTTCGTTGTACAGATTTAAAAGGGTATATAAAAACTGTAATGAAAAATCATGTCATAAAATTGTAAATAACAATATTTTTTTTCTTCTCCTTACTTTGCCATACTTGAGCGCAATTTATTTTCCAAACAAATACTTGCTCATCCAAAAATCTTTAAAAAAAAGATCCTTTTTTTAAAAAAAAAAAATTTCCCAAATACCCACGCAAAATGTAGTTTCAGAATATTTTCAATAAACAAAAATATATAACTTGAAGTTAAATAATGCTTACGATTTCAGTTTTCAAAAACTGCTGAAGCAGATGTCATATTCTACAGAAAAGCTGTTCTTTTTTTGCATCAAACGATAAAGTTTTATAGACTCAGCCCCGTAATGTGAGCAACTCTCATTTGATAAAGTGCCTCAAGCATTTATTCACCATGGATATAGAACTCCAATCTTTTGAATTTTTTTTACGACCAGCAAGTGCGCCACAAGTTTATAACCTATCCCTTAAGTTTCTACTCAAAGTTGGCGAAGAGGTGAAGTTCAATTTCCAAAACTTAGCCCTTGTTGTAAGAATTTATTTTTCAGAAAAATCATACTTTATATCTAAGAATTTACTATACTTCAGGAAAGTTATTTCAATTGTATTTGACTACAAAAAATATTAGCGTAAGCATAATTTTCTTGTTTTCAAAGTTCATTTAAATACTTTATAAATACTAATGAAAAATTTTAAATAATATTTTTAAATAATAGTAATGGAAAATGAACCAAATATGTATATATTTACACATATTTTCAGTAGATTCATTCAGTTTTGATTTCGAGTTTGTTATCCCTGTAAAATTTGAAAGAAAAATTGATGAATGATGAAGAAGATTGACATGAAAAGAAGCTTTTTTTATTTTATTTACTAATATGGTTTTAACTTTTCAGTATAATTTTTTATACAAATGCGAATCACGAAGTAATTAATTATGATAATTAAGCAAATTAACATTTCTGTGCTGAAATTTCAGTACTTTGTAGTAAACTATTAAAATATCGATGTGCTTCTTTTCATTCTATATCGATTCTGCAAAATTTTAAAATAAAGTTAACTAAATTTATAGTTTCAGGTGAATACTTTGTATAAACACTCGGCGAAAACAATTCTGGTAAATTTACTGTACAGCATGGTACTGCTATTTATGGTAAAATAAACCATACTTCTGGTCAATAAAATCAAAATTTTTGATATTTAAATAATTCATTTGGTAATTTTTCCATTCATATGGAAACAGTACTTATATCACACTTATAGTTCTTATTGTTCTTATTACCACACATTTTGTAAAAAAAAAAAAAAAAACGTGAAACTAAACAGTAAATTTAAGTGAAGAAATGATTTTTAAGCCATGTTCTAAGGTATCATGATACAATTACCAAGTTTGAACATATTTATTTATTTTTATCACTTATTATAAGATTGCATTCTATCGATAATTTTACCAAAGTTACTACAAAGCTCTAGGGACAAAATTGCCGAGCTTTTTAGAATTCCCATCGAGCTAGAAGTATGGTAAATTTTAGCATAGTCTTGCAGTTTTGAACGTAATGTTCGTCGTTGCTTTTACTTCTTATGCTTTAGCCTATTTTTCTCTGCGTACAATTTTTTTATGTTTTCAATGTTTATATTAACTGTACAATTCTTTCTTATCACAAATGGAATCTGTTACATTCGCTCATGTATTGACAAATTTTCTCTAACTCTATTTAATTTTTTTATGAATTTTATCACAATAATTTCGAATTTTCTGTATTCTTAATTTTATGATTTTTAATGTTTTAATGAATTGCTTCCCAATTTCGGTTGGGAGAAAAGGCAGACTTTATTTAAACCAAGAAATATCACATGCAAAATTACTAATCTTTCAGATTACTCAAGTATAGCTCCTAACCCGAATAATGAGATCATCTATGAAAACGTTGGGCAAAAGGAACACACGTATGCAAACATGATGAGCAGAGTGCATTTTGATGTGAGTAGTTTTTATGCCGAGAAAATTGTATTAAATTATTTTAGATCAAAGGCGTTCACTAATAATAAGTATATATATATANTATATATATATATATAAAACCCACCTACATGAATACAGTTGGTGGAACGAATGGTATTCTTTTAAAAAGGAGGAGAATGTATATACATAATGTATACATAAAAATATACTACATAAAATTATAACTAAATAGTATTAGGGGTCAATATATCTTCTTCTTAAACATTTATTTACTATAATCATTTAAATAGCAAAAGATCGAGACAAACAATATTGAAATAAAAAATTTAAAATTAGTCAAAAAATATTCAACTATTTTATCAATTTACTTTAGATTTTGAATTCAGGCACATATTAAATATTATTTTCTATTCTCTTTCAGCAATATGATGATATAACATATGCAGAACTAGCTCTTCCAGACAGTCAGCAACCTTTTGTGAGACATCGTTTGGAACCCCCTACGGAGTATGCAGACATTGATTTTCAGAACAGCAGGGGAACTTTTCCAGCGACAACAGTCATGGGAAATGAAAGAGACTCCGCCCGTAGTCCACTTGTCATATCTACGAAAGCCGTCAGGGTGGTCAGTTCTATTAAATCATTTTTGAATTATTTCAAAGTCAGCAGGGTGGTCATTTCTATTAAATAATTTTTTTAATTTTTTCAAAGACATCAGGGTGGTCAGTTCTATTAAAAAATTTCTAATTACTACGAAGTCATCAGGGTGGTCAGCTCTATTAAATCATTTTTGAATTATTTTAAAGTCATCAGGGTGGTCAGTTCTATTAAATCATTTTTGAATTATTTCAAAGTCATCTGGGTGGTCAGTTCTATTAAATTATTTACTTTTAAAAGGATTTTGAATTTTTTACCATGTTTATTAATTATTATTTGATATAATTATCTATTATAATTTATTAAAAAATTTAAGAGGTCAATAGGTTTATAGGGTGTGTGTTGATACGTTTATAGGGCCTTATTGATTAGGAACGAAATTTATAAATACTTTAAAGAAAGAAATTCAAAATAAAAATAATTTTCATTATTTAAGAAAAATAATTATTTTATTACTTTTATGCATCATTATGAAAAAAAAACATTGTTTAGCATTTTTGATTTTCTTATTAGAAATATGGAATAGATTTTTTCAGATACTTTTAAGTAAAATTAAGTACTTTTGAATTTGCAAACAAATTAAATGTTAAAAATGAAATAAAGTTAAAAGGGATGTAACAACAATTTCGAAAACGCACTTGAATGTTAATGGTGAATCTAATGGCATATTTTTTCAGACTTTTTTCCGCGAATAATTCAGTTAGTACAAAAGGACAAAAAACGCTGATGAAAGATTAAATTTGAAATGAAAAAAAAAAATTCTTTTTTAAAAATTACAGCAACCGCCAATTGTCAAAAGTTTAAAAATATTCTAAAAAAATCTGTTAATTTTCACTTCAGAATTTCGTTAGAAGGAAAAAAACGTATTTTTACCATTCATACATTCAATGATTCAGTTCATTATCTCTTTAAGTATTCTTAATATTTTTTAATTAAGTTTTATATATTTCTGAACATTGCCCACTATACGTACACTGTATTTCAATCTTTGAAAATTCATTTCTTCTCTTAAAATTTGTAAGGCAGTACCTTTTATTAACTGTATAAGGTCTTTTTCAAGAAATTAAAAAATCAAATAAAACTATTTTAACTTCAAGTTTTACATTTTTGATATAGCTAAAAATTTTAAGTCATTTATTTTCATATTAATTCATTTTAAATTATATGAGCATTTGAGTATTTAAAACTTCAAAATCATATAGATTTCATTTTTTTTAAATAAATATATGTACAAATTAAAATGTAAATCACATTTTTCAACTTTCTGGAGATTTTAAAAAAGAAACTGAAAAATAATAATAAAATAAAAAAGAATACAGCATGAGAGGTTGAAGTTCAATACAAAATTCTTTCAATGTATTAAATCATTATTTAAATGATCATTTCGATTAAAGGTACGCAGAACAACTTTATTTGACTCTGTTACTCCGAAAATTATTTTTATACAATTAACAATATCCTTCCTGAACTGTGGTTTAATGGATACGGATAAAATAAAATAAAAATTTAAACTGAAGTCATTATTATACTTCATATACCTTAGCGTGTCTATTCGATGAAATTTAATTTCCCAACTTATTTTTTTAAATATATCATATAAACCATGTTTTTTTGCCAAGTTTTGATAATATTTAATACAGCTTACTGATCTGATGCATTGCTTTACGATGTTTTAGATACCGGAGGACTGTCAACAAAATTCTGGAGCTGTATGACGTTGTATTCTCTTCTTCAGAAATAATACTGCCTTGATCTTGCCTTGACTTATAGTGACATTTAAAGGGCAAAAAGAAGTAAACATTAAATGATATCAGCATATTGCTGGAAAATACCTAGTTTGTTTAAAGGTGAAAAAAGATGAGTTACTCTATTTCAGCCTTTATTTCAAATTGTACAGAATTTTCACGTGCCTGTCTATAACATATGAATTTTCGGAGATATAAAGTCAATTTTTATCACAAAGTATCAACTTTTATGCACCATTTTCTCAATGACTATAAACTAAAGTTGATATGGCTATTTTATGGCAAAAATGAATTAGTTCCTCTTTTAAACTTTTATTTTGTTAAAATGTAAGAATGTTCACATGGAGTTTTAATGTGTAATAGAAAAAAAGTACATCTTAAAATTAATGAAAAAGTGAATATAATATTTTGGTGGTGTTTAAAAAAATACTGCTGTTTCGTTATTTAATAAATTACGTCCTTTTAATAAGAATCCAAGTTTTCTACAAAAATATTGGCTTCATCTTAGAGAACAAATAAAAATTTTCACAATAAAAACTAAAACAAAACTTATGCAGAAACATTAAAATAGTATTGAAACTTAAAACAAAATGTTAATCCAGTGCATGCTTAATAATGGGAAATCTCAAAAATGTCAATAGATTTCAACACAAGAAAAAGCTGATAATTAAAATCATTTACAGTTAATCAATCAATTAAGATTTTATGAGATACAATTTCTAAGTTATTACTCCTGACCGTGATTTAAAATGTTAAGAATTTTGTAAGCAAATATTTATTTCGATATAAAATTATATTTTATATCATGTGGAAGGAAATATCAAGAAATATTTCATTAAATAATTAGTTTACTGAAATTTTGTGGACAAATATTAGGCTTGATTTTTACAATGTCAGATGAATTAGGTTTTATAAGAAATCAAACCAGTTAATAATTGCAATCATATTTATTATTACACGCGCCCTTCATTACTCGATATCTTTACTGCTTGATCATTTGTAAAATGATCTCTTGATTTTTTTCAGAATCAAAATTATTTTCAAAAATTGCTTTTTGGTTACTATCAATCATTACAAATTTTATCCATAAAACATATGATTATTTCTGTAATTGCTGATCATGATTACTCTTAATTTAATACAACGGTTATCAAAATTATTACGTGTAGCTACAACTTAGTAATCCTCCCCTGCATATAATAGCATTTTTTCTAACCATGAATCACAATTCCGCATGAATCACATTTTTTTCTAGCTATGAATCACAATTTTTTTGTTAATGGACGACTGTATAGTGATAAAATCACCTGTATTTCAATAACGCGAGGAATATTATGACTAGTTCATACTTATGAACATTAGAGTAGTGGTAAAAAGAAAAATATATTTCTATGCAGTCGTTTATCAGTATTAAAAAAAACATATTTATATGCGTTATGAACAACAATTATAAACAATCTTTCATTTTCTATAGTAATAAAAGTTAAATTTTTACTGTTTCATTCATTCATTTATATACTACACACTGTTGGAAATTTCTCGGAAGAAATGGCTAAATAGCAAATTATTTAATTGTTATTTTACGATATTCGAACAATCATAAATATGATGGTAATCAAACTGTTAATTGCGAGAAAAGCCGTTTTACCGCTTTCACCTAATACGGTTACACAACCAGACTTTAATCGAACCAAATGAGCTCATCCAATGAAGCCACTTAGTTACTTGCAATTGAGTACATATTATAGCCGAGAGGGCTAATCTACCAATCTCATGACCAACAGAGCTGGGGTTCAAGTCCCAGCAATGACACGACAATATGCCTTCGGTTCCCTTCGACACAGGAAGAGTTCCCAGCATCCCGCACTCTCCAATGACCACTGTCCAACAAAAAGCCTAGCTTCTACTCCGAAATAAGTTTATTTACGTCATAATTTTCTATGCCCAAATAAGTTACAGTTTTGAAACCATGCTAGTAGTAAAGGATTAATAAACCGTAAGGTTTTGTATGAATTCCCAGTTTCATAACCATTCTAGTTGTAAACGGTTCAAAAACAGTGAAGGTGAAAATGTTCTTAACCGTAACCTTTACGGTTAATTCGAGGGACAGACTGCTGCCAGTAATTTTACCATAATTTTAAAATGAAAATTCTAACAGTGCACTTATAACGACATGATTTTGGAATCAGCCCTTCAACAGTAAATTTAATGAGAATTATAAATAGGTTTAAAGTTTAATGCCTACATTAATTGAAAATTTGAATCGTTTGTGAAGTGTGTGACAGCACCCCAAGAGGATTCTTGTTATGAACAGTATTATTGTAAGTGTTATTAAAAAGCTCTGTTGTTTATAAATATATTCCTTGATTTGCTCATATTCATTTTTGTTTTTAAGACATGTGTGATTATCAGAAAGAGTGATGTCATAAGTAAAGTATATTGAGATTTGATGAATTTTTTAAAAACATTTTTAACATTCAATCTGAACATTTTGTAGGGTTTTAAACAATATAAGAAACATTATCGTAAAAGGAGATAACATTCCCTGGTAGTTAATTTAGATTTTTTTTGTTAATCACACTCTTAAATTAAATAATTGAGAAAGCAACAATTTTTTAAATTGGAAAGCATTTGTCTCCTTTATTGGTTTGTTTAAATGTCATGCTGAAAATTATTTTTTTTTCAAAGTCTTTATTATACAATGGAAACTAAAATACTTTATTTTTTAAAAGAATGGTACTCGAAATATTTGGATATTTATTCGATTTGAAATCAACAAAAACATATTTTTGATAATAGGTTGCCGAAATTTTTTAACAATGTATGTGACCCTAATTTTAATAATTTATGTCATTTTGCTAAGTAATACCTTATGTTTGAGATCGTTACATTGATTTTTATTTTATTTGAAATAAATAATTTGAAACAGAAATCCTCTGACAGAAGATTTTCGAACTAAAGATATTATCTGACTGAAGATATAATTAAATATATTTTACACACTTTATTCTCAAAAATATTTAAATTATATATAAAACTATTAAAAGTAAATGCTAAAATTAAATTGAATTACTAATATGAAAAAAAAATACCTGCTTTTGGTACAGAACCACCATATGTTGTTTCATTTAGTATGGTATAATTAAAATGATAATGACTGAAAAAGACATATATATGAGATAGATTTTACTGTTATAATGCGACAGTAAAATGAGGAAGCATCTATATTTTAACCTAGTTCCTAACCTTGAAACATTTGAACTTTTTGTGCTATTTTAATTTAATTCTTTTTAAGCTGTATGTACTATTTTATCTAAAAATCTTGCTTTTGACATCACTTTTTTTAAAAATATATATATAATGGCGTTGTATTGTATATGTCGAAATGTATATAATTGTTTAAAGTTTTGACAAATAAACAGCTTATAAAAGATAGAAATGTTTACGCGTGTTCATTCTCTACAAAAATGTAACAAGCTAGTATTAGAAATTTGTTTATTTTCATATTTTTTTAAAGTACTATGAGAGTATGTTGGTGACTTACTTCAACTGCACAGACTTTTTCCATATGGCTTACAATACATACTACTTATTCTGTCATACACAATGTAATTGCGCAATTGCAACCGAGCTGATACAGCACTTACCTCATTTAAAAAAAAATGAAGTATAAGTATTCCTTCTTCCAAATTGCGAAATCCTCACCACTACCAATTATAGACACGTTTGTGGCACTGTGTCGCTTATAAAAATGGTAATAAATATGTTAAACTCTTATATCAACACTGTCAGAATATTTGCCAAATTTAAACCATAATATCATTTAAATTTGCTGCTAACCTATATAACATAAGTTTAATCATGCTTTTAAACTAAATACTTATATTACTTGACTGGAAAAATCTGTGTTAAAAATGCTTGCAAACCTAAATATACTTCAGCTTAACACCATACTAAGTTTCTTAATATCATTCGCTCAATTTTATGGATTAAATTACACAAATCATGGTTTATTATGGTAATAATATTTCTGAAAGTATGCATTTTTAGAGCAACATTTCTGAGAATTTTTTTTTCTCTATATTATTAAAATTCCTTTTTTTTTCGTTTTTTAATGTGCCTTTCATAATAAGGAAACATTTTATTACTTCTGAATCGTTTTTGTATATGAGTGTTTTATCAAAATCAAAATATTTATTATATTTTCGTACAATAATTTATTAATAATGTTATTTTTATTATATGAAATATATTGTTTATTCTTGTATGTTCATTAACTACCTAGTCATGGCATATGAAGATGTGAAGATTCTGATGTGTGATAGATGTGAAGATTCATAAGATTTTGTTTTCTAAGGAAGCGGAAACAAAAAGCATCGAGTTTTGCTTTTAAATGCGAGAATAGTACTGCTGAATAAAAATCAATCGCACAGTAAAAAATAAGTAAGATCACATAATTAAATTCAATGAACTACAAAAATTTTTTTTTTACTAATAATGCAGTTTTAGTTTAAAAATTAAATTAAAATAAATAAATAAATAGTAATAAAAATGAATTAACAGATTTTTATTTTCTCTTTCACTTACATCGGTACCACATACAAATAGCACTCTCTTTCAAAAAACTCAATTTACTAATTTTTATAATATTTTTATAAGCATTATTTAGACCTTACATTTTTCTCCATTCTTTTTTTGTTGAGTAATAACAGAGTATGAACTATAGTAGTTTAAACTGTAGTAATAATTTAAGAATTTTTCTAATAACTTCTACATTTTCTGTATTTTGGAATATAATTTTTTGTGAAACCATGTGTCACAAATTAATTTCTTATATCCAATGCATATTTTAAATATTCTTTCTTTAAATTAACAAAGAAAAAAAATGCGAAATGAGTCATTTCAACTGCTGTCAAAAATTAACTCACTTCACTGTTAAGAGATGGCGTTAAAGGCGTAAAATTTGTATTGATAACAGAGAGCGACATTGGGCATTATTTTAAGTTTTCAAAGCTTGGAATGTTGTATACAAATTTCCGCTATAATTTACACTGTGTATAGTCAATCTAGAAATAGTAATCTGAAAAAGTTCTTGCATCTCACAAGATTTAAACTTGAAAACGAAAGTTTATTTTCTTCAGAGTAAAATAAATAAATGAAATAGCAGTACGTGTAACAAATTATTTTATTAATTTATAATTATTTATTTACATAATTATAGTGAACACACTGTATTTCCTTTAAAAATATTTACAGAAGATTTAAAAATATTTACAGCGGACTACACAGCAGATTTGAAGCTTGCATAATGCTGGAAAGAAATACGTAAGGAAAGACAATAAACACTCTAAAGCTACAACAAGTTCTACAAAAAAAAATTTATTGCTGCAAAATATAAAAATAACTCTGAAAAGCAATTTATAATTTTTCTTACAGAAAACACATCTTTTAATTTTATCCAAAAATTTACTGTTTTATATACAACTGTAAAATATGTTACAGGAATTTGAAAATTACTTATACACACCGCTAAAAGATAGAAATATCAATAAAAACTAATTAATATCAAGAATGACCATTTAAAAATATAAAATTTTATAAAAAATCTTTACTAGATTAAAAAATCAAAACTTTCTTCCTCAGATTTTTTTTTATATTTTTCATACAGTACTTCCCTTTTTAATTATTTTCTTTTTTTACGCATTCTGATTTAAAATTTTTCATGAATTCCCTTCAATAGTCAATCAGAAATTGAATTATTGCAAACTGCAACTGCAAAAACATTTCATCAACTGAATTGTAACAGTTATCTTTATATTCGTGAGCTTTCTTTTCCACTACATTTCTGGTACAGGTTTCTACTATGTGAAGAAAATATGCGGCTTAGGCAGCTCTTTTCATATAAAAATTGAATTTTACACAATTGAGCTTTATTTCCCCTTCCGAAGCGCCTACATCCGTAAATGTTCTGAAATCAATTTCCGAGGTGAAATAGATATCAAATCTCAATTCTATGAAAATCAAATAAATACTCAGGATCCTTGGAAAGCGGTGATTTGTTCGAAATAATCTTATGATTTGACAACTCCTTAGTGACGACTCAAACGATTGAGGAAAGGCGGATAGAAGATTTAGAAAGGAATGTGAAACTCAATCTACTATCTTTTTCAAAACCAGGAAAGGAAATCAATCATAGTCTACAGAACCTTAGCCTTTTTTCCGTTTTTTTCCCCCAAGTTCTTTTGGAAGACATCAAAAATCACTTAGATTTGCTGTTTTCAAAGACATAATGAAAGAAATTTGATTCGGTTTTATGAGTGAGACATGTCTTTCTAATTTTTTGACGTTTGGTAAAAGAACAAAAGAAATTTCTTCCGGAATTGATAGAATTTTTTCCCCTGTTTAAAGAATTCAATTTATCCCGTTTCAGAACTTAATTCATTTTTATTAATCTAATAAGAATATTGAATGTCAAGTTTAAGTTACTCAAATTACGAAAAGATTTTGGCACATTGTTTTAACTATTCAACTATTTATTTTCAAAAGCGAACCGCATTTTGAAACATTATCATATTGTTAAGAAAGTGATTTAAACTATGAAACGTATAACTAAATAAGAGTTAGAACGTTTTTATTTATTTATAATTAGATATTACTAGCAAAAGTAATCAATAAATTGGTAAAAATAAGCATTTCAAAATAATGCAAACACACGGTAAAAAATAGATACAAAAATTTTAAAAAGCTTTCTTTATTTTTAACAAAACAGTTTTCTGATATATTATATATTTCCTGATATGATTTCTCCTTCGAGGAATCTAGTTTCGTCAAAAGTGTCTAAATATTTTTCGATCATCGAATCTTCATTCAAATTATAATGCTCCGCGATGAAGCTTTGCGTTGAAGAAGCATTTTTGTCAGGTACTTGAAAATTCGCTTTCGTCACAATTCGCGTTATTTCGTGACGAAAATATTTTCAAAATTAACAAAACACAGATCAAAGATTGCTGGATCATCGAAAAAGTTTTGTTTCTTAGAGTGCAAAACGGCATAGTTAATTAATAATTAGCCGCACATCTAATTTAGTTAAAATAATAATATTTTTTTATTATTATTCATTGCCATCCCTATGACATAGAATTTTTAAATTTGGCAAAATGTGTTTTTACAAGCTACATTCACCTCATCAAAATTAAGTTTATGTCCAGCATCATATGTCTAGATGCAAACTCAATCGATGCTAACTCAAAACTGTCAAACTTTACTTCATTCAAGCAATTTATTCCATTTCTTCTTCTCTTCAGTGCATAACATATTTTTTGTAAATTTAATAACATTGGATTTCAAAAATATTTAATGTTGCAGAAGTTTAAGTTGTTTAGTTTTCTAAAGCATAAGCATAAACAAAACAAACACATAGTTACAGATAACTTTAAAAATTCGAATTAGATAGGGAAGTCTTCACATGCCTGCCACTTTGAGCTTTAAACTCAACAGACATAACGAATGAAAGTTAATTATTTTATAATAAGCGGACCAGTATGTCCCCAAATCTAAATACCTGATAGTAAAAAATTTTAACGCATGATTTAATTTGAGAACTCACTATTTCACGTTTCCCATTATTTTTTAAAAAAATATATATTTCTGTTCAAGAATCTCTTCGAGGTATTTCTGTTATCAGAATATTAAATTAAAACGGTAAAACAGTGAGTTTTCGGATATCCGTTTAGAAATTTTACTAATTCTTCTTTTCTTTAATTTCTTTTTAAGTTTTGGGAAGACGCTGGTCAGTTTATTAGTAAGGATTATGCAATAAGCAACGTTTTTAATTAAACGAAGAAGTAATCTAAGCAACAATATTACATTTGTATTTTAGATATTAAAAAAAAATCGTCAATAGTTCTGTTTATAAAAACGTGTATTGCTAAAGCCATTGCATAAAATGTATACTTTAAACCAACCCTTCGAACAAAATAATTGAATTTTTAGTATGATTTATAGCATCGGGGGCTAAAATAAACCTTTAAACCAGCTATCCAAATTTCGGTACTAAGGTACAGAATTATTTGTACCAAGGTGCGAATATTTTTGGTGTTGAAATAGTGCGAATATTTTTTTTATTTGTACCAAGGTGCGAATTTTGGTGTTTAAACACACTTACAGACTCTTAAATAGCTAAATTTCCTTGCGGAAATTCGTAGAGAAATCTTGGGTAATTCCACTATAAGGATAATCAGAAGTCATAATTAGTCAAGAAGATGTTTTATAAATAAGAATGAAAAGAATTTTTCGATTCATACCGCATATTCACAAAGATGTTAAAGGAAAGAATTCATATTTCCATTTTTTTAACTAAAACATTTAAGTAGGACAAAACATCGAAACTGCCCTGAAGCAAAATTATTATTTCAGTTTCCATCTATAAGAAAAAT